AGTTGGAAGACTTATTGTTCCCGAAGCAATCAGTCAGACAGCAATAAAATTTGTTATAGATATTTCTCTCTCTCTCTGTAAGTTCTTGGAATGGGTGAAAGTTTATTTTGTTTTACATATATAAGGAAACTGCATGTAAAGCAAAATAATTCAAGGCACCCATTGTATATTAATCATTGTACGTCCCTTCAGCTCTTTGGTTGGATATTAAGAAAAGAAATTCCTATACTGCTTTTGTATTACTTGTATAGTGAAAGATTTGAAAAAATAGCTTCATATGAAATTTTTTCTCTGATGAACGAATACAGCTGAAAGCATGTTTGTGTCTTGAAGTATATCCACAAAACATGAAATAGTATTGTACTCTTTTGTGTTGTATTGCATTTTTATATTACTTCGTGGTAAATTTTTTGATTCATAAATTTCCTCTCTCTCTTTTCTTATAATGCACAAGTACTCTTTCAAATATGGCTCACCTACGAACCTAAATTTTTATACTATAAAATTTTATATAAAAATTAGCCATAATCATTAGACACAGCTTTGTGTATATTATATTCTTGAATACATGCCTTCAATTAATACTAAGAATACTATTGATAAAATTTGTGATATAATTAATAATGAAAATACTGTTTAAGCTAAAAACCGATTTGAATCATTTTTTCATTATAGGGTAACATGAGCCAAACAATTTTCGTTAGAAATATACAATTATGCTAACTTGACACATCAGATAGAAAATATTTTATCGGCTATGATAAAAGGTTTTACGCTTAAGATTTTGGATTATGATAAAGCACACAGGACCTATTTGTCTAAGGGAAAGGAAGTCTTCATGGTAGATTTTTTTGTGAGAAACAAACTGTTAATTCACAATTGTACTTGTGAAAAACCCTTAAACCTCCCATGCAGCCGCTAGAATTTACCGGTGCTCAGCTATCTTACCGCTTGGAGACTAGTTGTCTTTCTGAACTTACGCAATATCTATCTGAATTTCAATATATGCATAAAAAACGAGCAAAATAAAATAATACATTGTAAATAGTACATTTTACTGAAATCAAACTTTCTTTGAAAAAGGAAAATTAATTGTAAGGAATAAGATGGATGCATTTCATTAAACGGCGGGCAATAACAGCGCTGATCTAATGTTTGTACAGGAAATCATTTTGTTCGTGTTATCGTATAACGAAAAATATCCACAGATTATATTTTACAGTTTTTAAGAAGTCGTGGGTTATTTGCTTTAAGAGAACACCTTCATGGGTAATTTTCTAAATAAAATTGGCTTGAATTCACGTTACGCATCGGGAAAATCATAAAGACCACAAGCAGCTAACCTGTTCGATTGCCAAAACAAACTACCAACATCCAGCAATCTTATTCGCTCAACTATAGTGAACTTTAATTAATGTTTGTATATTATTAGTAGTATTAAAATAACGAAAATATTTATTCTAGTAAAAATTTTTGTTTAAATATCCTCACTAGTAAGGTATTTCCTTTGGTTAGAGATTTGTCAATAATAAATGCTATGTTCAAACAAGACATTTATTAAGAGCATAATGCTTCAAAAATGTATGCTGGAATCCCTAGAAAAAAAATATCACCGGAAATATATCTCCAAAAAAATTTTTAATTATTCATATTCTTATGATTAATTATTAAATAATTAATAACTTTTATAATTATTAAATGCAATGCTTATTTATACTTTACCAAATGTTCAGCAACACTCTTTACAAAAATACCATATTGAATAAATTATATTGTAAGCTAATGCTTTAATTAACATTGCTTTGTTTAATTAAGATACAATAAAAAACCAAAGAAATATTAAATTGGAAGTCAAACAACAAAAATCAGCATTATATATTTTCAAATTTTCACAGGACTAGTTTTTATGGTTTTACCGAACAATCATTCTCAGCTGCATAAACGCAAATGAACGAGATAAGATATAATGAAAATTAGATTGTGATAAAAATTTTCAAATTTTCACAGGACTAGTTTCGATGGTTTTACCGAACCATCATTCTCAGCTGCATAAGCGCAAATGAAGGAGATAATATATAATGAAAATTAGATTGTGAAAATTTGAAAATATAACGCTGATTTTTGTTCTTTGACTTCCAAATTAATTGCTTTGTTTGTTATTAATATGTCTCATCTTTCCTGTTTCAGATAAAGTTTACTAGTGTTTCTTGGACAGGAAAGCAAGAATTTTTAATTTGAATCAATAAATTTATGATACACTAAAAACAGTTTCAAGTTATAATTCCCTTTCTGAATATCTTGAATGTATATTAAAAAGTAAAATGCAAATTTAATATTAATATTATCACCCTTAAATAACACCAAATTGCTTTGTTTGTTATTAATATGTCTCATCTTTCCTGTTTCAGATAAAGTTTACTAGTGTTTCTTGGACAGGAAAGCAAGAATTTTTAATTTGAATCAATAAATTTATGATACACTAAAAACAGTTTCAAGTTATAATTCCCTTTCTGAATATCTTGAATGTATATTAAAAAGTAAAATGCAAATTTAATATTAATATTATCACCCTTAAATAACACCCAAATGTTCCATTTATTACTCTTGAAACTACGTAATAATTAACGCAAAAAGAAATTATTTAAAATAATTATTATTTGCATGCAGTTGAAGAATATAGGAAAATGTTGAAAGTTTTAAAGATTTTCAATTAATAACAAAAATACAGAAAATCGGAAATAATACGATATGTTTCAGCAATATCTCAGAAGGAATGAAAGTAGCACCAGATATTTGTCAGAATAGAATTTTAGTGATAGCAGTTTAATCAGTTTGCATTGAAATTCCTGTGATAATCAGTGACATACAGATTTAGGTTACTTAGGTTAAAAATGCATAATAATTAAAAATTTAACAGGGTGAATTTTAAAACCAATTTATTTGAAAACTAACAGCTTCGCTGCCAGCCTTCGTCTGGCTTTTAAATGTAGCAGGAAAATGGCTGAAGGGAACACCAAATGTTAAATTTAAAAACTGCGTAGAACTTTACTTTGCAGAACAACTTCATAAAAAAAGTTATTATGTATAACAAAATTACAATGAAATAATATATCCCTTAATACAAATATTAATACAATATCCCTTAATACAAATATTAATTATCCTAATAAATAAATTAACCAACTTCCCTTTGCAAAATCTTAAGAACTCAAATGGTATAAAGAAGGTTAAAAACTTTGTTTCCTAAAAAAAATCACTCAAAACTTTTCAGTATCTTAAAAATAATGAAATGAGCAATAAATAACATAAAAGAATACACAAAACAAAAAATTCTGAAAAGCAAAGTATAATTAATGATATTTTATCTTATATTTTCAAGAGAAAAAAATTACAATAAAATAAGCTATATTCCTTAATACAAATATTAATTATCCTAATAAAAAATTAACCAACCAATTTCGTTGAAGAAACAAAATCATGCAAAACTTTTCAATATCTTACAAACAGTGAAATAAGCAAAAAATAACATGAAAGCAACTCAAAAAACATAAAATTCCATCCAGAATTTTACTCTGCAAAACAACTTTATCCAAAAAAAAAAAAAAAAAATAACAATAAAACTTTATTATATATATATATATAAATGACAATGAAATATGCCAATCTCTTAAAAAACAGTGACATAAGAAATAATATGAAAAATTGTTGCCAAACCCATATTTCTAAAAGAATGAAACTATTCAAAATGATGCGATTTCATCAAAAATCTATCAACAACAAGACAGGAAAATTGTTGCCAAAATCACATTTTTAAAGATGTGAGAAGTGTACTCAGAAGCTTCATTTAAAAAATTCTTTAAAAATACAAAATATTATCATTTTTTCAAAATTCTTTTTTTAAAAGCAGTGGCAAGGATGAAAGTTTAACGAGTCCAAAAATCAAAGAAAAATAAACATTTTTAGAAAAAATCCCGTTGAAAAGGTGTTAAGTTTCCTTTGTTAAATAAATTCGTATTTAATCAATTTATTGAAACAGGAAATTTATTTTAAGTTCGTAAAATAGCTAAGTGCCTACGTTTCATGACGATGTGAAAATGGAGTGTGTAGAGTAAAATCTCGCTTTCCTATAGCCCATATTGTCTCAAAATGATGCGATTTTGTCACGAAACATAAAATTAAAAAAAAATTAATTCGAGTTTCAAAAAATTCGCTTCGAGGTGCACTGTCTCTTTTCTATATGCACCTGTGTAATAAATTTCGTAGCCATGGGTCTATTAGCTTACGCGCAGCGCGAACAAAAGACACACACACACAGACTCTTTCTTTTATTATATGTAGAAAAGAGAAGAGAAGAGATAAGATTGTTTAAGGGAAGGAAATTTAAGTTTCGCAGCTGTACCCTGCGGCATTAAGACAGTCATCACAGAGAGTCTAGTCTTTTGCAATTCTCTTGACAGCTCACATCTACGGAACAATATCTAGTAATCAATCTAACTTAGCAGAATCATTGAAGTAAAATTCTGGGAGGGATGGGAAATAACAAAAGAACTGCTTGACAATTTTCAGAAGTTTAGGGTTATTTTTGCGACATTTTATGGGAAGTTCGGTCCATAACTAACGGCAGTTTTAAAGGGATTTGCAGAAAATTACTCGACAGGCTAAGGGTTAATGCTATATTCGGTAAAAACTGATATGATTCATATATGCATCACCATGTATTGAAGGGCCTTGTAATAATAAAATTCCTTGTACTACATAAGTTTGAGATAAGCGTAAACATTTAGGAATAGTTTGACATATAAAATTTGACTTGCTTAAAGATTAGCTTAAGTCATCTTTTTTGCATAGCAGGATATTGATAGCAGAAATTAAAATATGCAATTTTTTATGTAGCTATCAATTTTTATTTGAATGTGGAATATGCTTAATGCAGATTGAAGGTATGCATGAACAGTGATATTTGTAAAAATTAAGTTTTTATCTTTTTTCCCCCCCTTTAGGTTTTAAATAAGCAGCGCCTTCAGGATTTAGTAAGAGAAGTAGATCCAAATGTGCAGCCTGATGAAGATGTTGAAGATGTATATATACCTTTTTTTCCAATATAAAATTTTATATAATTTTAATTATTTTACTTTTTATATTGAGGTACTTTTTGCAGTTATATGATTTTTCATTTATTAAATCCTTTGTATAGCTAGTAGGTATGTATGTATTTTTCCATTGGCTATGAAAGTTGGTAAAGCCCTGTCAAACTTATGCTCGTGTGAAGTGGTTAAATGTGAAAAAACTGATTGTTATTTAACCACTTGTGCTAAAAAGACATGCCACGCACATCAAGATGCTTTTGTCTCAAACCGCGAGCGATGTGAACACCACATCGATAGGCCTTTATCGCAAAAATGAAAATAACGGGTTGCAATCGTCGCCTAACAATGAGATTATTTCTCAGGTTACAGCTCTGGATCGCAGACGCGGAGCGGCATAAATGAGACACTTTACCGCTTGTTATATTGTAGCGCACGGCACCACAACCGTGAAGTTTAGTCGTGGTTAATTAGATAAGTAACAGATACAAGTTACTGATGTAGCATATAGAAAACTTAAAACACATTTTCAAACTGCCAAAGAAGTAGCAGCACCAACTTACCGAAGATTGCAGCTGCATAAAATCAAAGTGAAGATCTTATGAGTAAATTGTGATGCCATGTTTATCCATTATTTATATGAAATTGGATTGTTTGAGACATTTATTTATTTATTATTACCTTTTCAGCAAAAATAGTCGATTTTAAAATACGTATATTGCATAACTTAAAAACGAGTAGCCTTGGAATGTTGAAATTTTGTATATAAGACTGCTATAATGTGTAGCTTCAACTTTGGTTGCAATCAGCTCCACCAAAGGTATATAACAGTAGTGGCAAACCTTTTTGGGGCTGCATGCCCAAAACCATTATTGAAGGGGGGGGGTCCGCGTACCCAAAACAAACCTCGTTGATTAAATCCCAATCGGAGAGCGATTTACCATGCTTTGCCAAGCATAGTGAAATGTGAAAGCTGGCTATTGTTAGATGGTTTGTTTTAGAAAGATAATTGCAAAACCCAACTTTCTGCTATTTATAATTCTTCAATTTCCCTCTAATAAAACACCTTCCATTCAGCTTTATCAACAATCTTGTGGTTTGTGTTAAATTGCCGTCTGACACCAGATGTGCGACACACAACGTTTTTTCCCATACAGAATGTAAAATGCTTTCCTACTATGTTCAATAACTCCAAATGATTCTGGTCTCTTGAAATAATCTTCCACTATCAATGTTTAATTTTGCCTTTTTTGCTGGAGCCATTTGTGAGGGTTCAAGACCTGGAGAATAGAAAAGCACAAAATTTAAAAATGAAGGATTAAATATAAATCGATCATATACTGAAAAGGGGTAACATTATTCGCCAATAGTAAGGAATTGAATTTTCAAGAATCAACAATCTGTGGCTGCAGATTTAAATATGAACAGGGGACAGCAGTAACCGTTAACCTGGACATCTCTTTGCTAAAACTTCTAACTTTAGATATCACATGCTCCTTTTCGGCGGCTTTATTGGACTTATTTTGGCTGAGCACATGTGAATAAGCTTCGTTTCCCTACTAAGCTTTCGTGTTTTGCCTATATTATCAAATTGCATGTTTTTACATTATATTTGTACATTCCGTTCAAGATATTAAATGAGAATTATTCATGAGTTACCTCAATGCTTAGATCTGAAAACTGGAATCTATTTAATAATAAAAGTATTAAAGCTCATCTGCAGTTTGCAATAAATTTGAATTTGTTTAGCAAACCATTATCTATTTCAACTCTGGCATATCCTTTGCCATGTAACAAGTAATGTGATTGGCCCAAACAATTGAAACATCACCAATTGGATCAATAAATATGTATATTATTTCTATGTCGATATATGGAAAATCTTATACCTAGGCTTAGGCTGTATGCTAGTGGCATTATATGATAAGTGAGTAAGTGAAACTTTCAAGAAAAGATAAAAACCCTTATTTAAATTACATAGTATCATTTTAATGTGGTTATTGATTAAGGAAGTAATATTTTAGTTGCATGCTGGTTGATGAGGCCGACTGTGATGAGCGTGCCATAGGTTTGCCATCACTGGTATCTCCATTTCTGGTATATCTATCACTGGTATAACCATCCACTCTGTTATTCGGCTCTGTGAGCTCAACTTTTTTTTTATTCTTATATGTTGGTAAATTGTGCTTTCCCCCCCTTTAAAAAGGATTGAATTATGTTGTTCTTATCTTCCAGTTAAGTCTGCCTTTAGTTATTCTGAATTCAATAGTTGTAGAATTATCAGCAATTCAAAAGTTGTTTAAGTGCCACTAGGCCTAACTTTTTTACTATAGCAGACACATTTGTTTGCATTTCAAACTTGGCAAAATAGTGAATTAATTCTTTCTGCACCTTTCAGTGTCTTTTTTCGAGTGGGACGAAAAGGAAACTTTTGTGCACCGCAAAATCTGCCTTATTGCCCCCTGACTGAATTACTTGTTTTCGCATAGAAACTAATTTAATTGTAAAAATTTTTTAATTGTTTTAACTGTTAAAGAAGATTTGGTGTTTTATATTTTTCTATTATTTTTCAATTTTTAATAAAGATATTTTGAAATTGTATATATTTTTGCCTTGCCACATAGTGAGAGAACTGAATTAATTAAATGAGAAATATATCACTAATGAAATTCAAGGAAATAAGTTTAAATGAAATGCAGCAAAAAATGGGCATAATTTAATATTCTATACATTCAAGGAATTCATGTGGTTTATGCTTCAGATTTTTTAGGACATATATAAATATTGTATTATTGTTAAGAAGCAACATATGGCTAAAATTTCTAGGATAATAGTAATGCTTAGTATTAACTTAGTGATCCTATTTAAGCAGGCATGAAATCATTTAAATAAATAAAATATATTGTTAGTTATGAATAAATATAAGTGCGGACAAAAGCTTTTTTGACTTAAAGAAAAGAAAATTTTGCTATTAATCCCATTTAGTAGCAAGGAAAGCAATATTTATTGATTTAAAGATGTTATTTATATATACATCTGTACATCCTAATATCATGTGATCATTATATTTCTTTTTATTTTCAGTTGTTATTGCAGTTAGCAGAAGAATTTATAGATGATGTTGTGGTCACATCATGTCTGTTAGCTAAGCATCGGAAGTCAAACATATTAGAAGTAAAAGATGTGCAGTTAAGTCTTGGTGAGTTAGAAATTGTAAGATTTTTCTTTTGCATCTTACTTATTAGCCAAGTGAACACTTTAATGAGCTATTTTAATTTAGAGTTAAATAGTATGATACTCAGTTCCGATGTCTGTTAGACCACTATACAAAGGTAATTTATTCTGGAATTTGATATGCAGTGTAATATGGATAGTAATAGGAGTTTAACTAATCATAGTTTGTGTAACTAACATCTTTCTAGTTGAACTAATCATAATTTTTTGTGTAATGTTGATATAGCCTGGTTTTTTTGAAAAACAGTCTCTCCCAAAATAGCCCTGTTGTGTTGCATACATCTGTTTAAAAATAAATATAAAGCTTGTAATGTTGACAAGATTTTAAATCTATTATGATATTTATTAAGTACCACAAAATATATTCTTGTATACTATGAGTTCGTAGGGATTTCCTTGAATAACTAAGCCAGATGAACAGGAAGACCTTGAAATTTCATTTAATATTAATAATACTTCTTACAGCGAGATAAACAGAGATAAATAACTGAAAAGAAAAAAAGAGATAGGGTGAAATTCTGGTTAACAAACAAAGGCAATCTCAGATCACCAAATTCAGTTTCAGAACAAGGTTTAAAACAGTAATCACCAAACAGAAAGTTTAAGAGTATAAAACAGGCAAAGAAGTCATAACACAGTCTTTTATTTATAGAGTTTGTTAGGTAACAATCTCTTCTTTTTAGGGAAGGTAAACACTTCTAGAAGCTTCAATGCAATTTTCTGGTTTTCAATGCAATGGTCTTTAAAAATGCATTTTCTAGAAACTTCCAAAATGTTAAGTTTGCTTCGTTTTATGTGATAATACTTTCTCTTTAATTCTGTAAACAGACATAATTTCTTCTTCAGTTACAAAGTTCTGCTGTTCAAGTGCTATAATTGCAAGTGTTCAAGTGCTATATCCACTGTTCAAGTGCTTCACTATCGGAAGCGAATTATAATGACGAGGAATTTGATTTAAATCATTTCAAAGACTGAGTACATCAAGATGAAATACTACATTTAGTAAGGAATTATAAGCCAAATAAAATAAAAAATCTGCCCTGAAGATAAGGATGGTGCTGACAGATCAACTTCCAATTAACTGCGCGCAATGACGTGCCCCCCTCCCCCCGCAGAGCAATGTGAAATTGATAAACAGATTTCGGAATGGTTAGATAAACAAAGGATTATGCCTTTATCCATTTTTTGCAGCAATTCCACTTTTTGTTTAATGGACTTCAAAACATACTTTCGCTTTGTAGTAAATATATATCGGAAATTCTATTTGATATAATCGAAAGTTTAAGCTTACTTTTATAAAATTGCTCTAACAGTCTGCAAAAATAATAAGCCTTATCCAATTCGAAGATTAAGAAACAATGCAATCTGCAACATTAACTGAATTAGATCATTTTAGCTTAGCTTATACTGTCCGTTATACATTAAACGCACATGCGTAAACCTATTATGCGCATGCGCACACGCATATTCGCAGCCGTAAAGGTCTTACGTGTCAACTTTCTGCAACGCGACGAATGCGCAGAAAGTTTGTAGCTTTGAGGTCCGGATTATGGGTGTCCGAATTAACATCTTTTGACTGTACATGAAATAAATACAGCATAATAAGTGGTCATAAGTTCAAAACTAAATAAAATGCATGATAATTAGCGCAGAGTCATCTTGTAAAATGAACCAGATAATTTTATTAAATGTAAAATTAGCCAGATAATTGTTATTATTTTTTTCATTTAATCTGTTTTTGCTGTAATTCTTTCAGCATTCTAAATTAAGAGGCAAAATCAGGTTAAAATATTAAAACAGCTGTCTTGTTTTTGGAGTAGAATTGGATTGTTTGGTATTTATGTATGTTTCCACATGTATTTATATGTAACTCAAATGAACAGTAAACTAGAAAATGTAGTCCCATGTCAAGACAGTTTGTTATTTGTGACATTGATTGAAATATGAATTATTCACTCAGTGGATATTTTTATTTATAAATATAAGATGATTTGTTAAGGGGTTAAATTTTTAAGGGGTTCATTTATTTTCCCTTTTATAAATAGTATGTATTTGTTATATACTGTTTTTACCCTTTATTTGTTACTTGTTTAAGCTGTTAAAGTTTTTAATATACTTTTTAGAAAAAAACTGGAATATGTGTGTACCTGGTTTTGGATGTGAAGAATGGAGGCCATATAAAAAGTCAGCAACTACTGAAGCTCATAAACAGGTAAACCTAAGTACTTTTATAAGCTGGTTCATACTAAAAGGTTTTATAATTATTTGCACTGAAAATATTTGTAATTCACAAGATTTATTGAAAAAAAATTAATGAGGTAATCAGTGAAAATGTTCAAAGTATATACTAAGCTAATGCTTCTTTAAATTTTTGCATCAGAAAAATATTTCCAAATTCTCAAGACAGAAAAGATAAATTATTAAAGCGTAACACATTTGTAAATTATATGCTTGGGTGAGTCGTGTTCTTTGGCCTAATTTAGAAGAAAGTAAATTTGTGTGTGAAAAGTAATTTCATGATTCTTATTTTCAAAGGGACAAGCAAGCATACCTAGGCAATGAATACGACTACTATATAAATTGTAAATTTTTAGTAATAAAGAGTGAAGTTGAGGGAAAGTTGATTGCATGTGTTGAATAGAAGAATGCATATTCAGTGTTGATGATATAGTATTATAATGAATAAAAAGGATTAGACTTACTGAAATATTAGATCTAAATAACCGTGATAGATAAAAAAACATGTTATGGATATATCTTTATTGATTACAGCATTGAAGACTAACTAGAGATAGTTTGGCTGTGGGGCATCCTTACACATAATTAAATCTTTTTTTTTTTTTTTTTTAAGACTTAAAATATCTTTGCTATTCTCTTATTCGTTTAGATACTATTAGCCAAGCATCTGTAGTTGTAATGTGTTAAGTTTTCATATACATTATCAGTATCAAAATAGCTGCCAACTACCTGTTTTGCTGGGCGACTCTCAGCTTTTTGACAGTTTCTTGATACATCACTGAATCTCCCAATTTTTAATATCTAGCCTTTATAAAGAAGATTGTTTTTCAGCAAATGATGAAATTTAAATTGCTCAGATTTCTTTCTTGCACCATTATTGATACTCAGTATGCTTTTACTTATATCATTTGATCTGAATTGTCTTAATCTATTGTAGACATTTGGGAAGTCAATCTTTAACTAGTTAATTATTAGTGTTTAATTTTGTTTTGCATCAGTATTTGGTACATTACAAAGTTTATTCTCACAACAATACATACATTAATTATCATTTCCATTGTGTTTAAAAGAACTTTGATAAATAAAAACTTTCTTTCCCTTTTCACGATTTTATCAGCATAAAAGTGTAAGAAAACTAAAAAATGAAATTATCCAAAAAATATAAAATTTAGAATGTCAGAATTATATTTTGAATAGTTGAATAAACTGAATCATGTGTTATGAATCAAATTTAAATCCCCCCTTTTTTTAATATTGCCACTGTGTAGTGGCTAAAACCTCCAGGAAACTCCTGGTTTTAATGTGAGAACCTTTTTGCTTTTCATGTTTTAAGACTGGAAGCTATGCATTATATTTTGTGATGCAAGTTTGATTTCCTTTTGTAGATTTTAAATACAGAAATCCATCCCTGGAAGTACTGCACTGGAAAGGCTAATATAGACAAACATTTTGAACCATTTGGGTTAATGATCTGGCATTAAAGCATGGGGGGTATTAAACTTCTCTTCTATTTACACCTTATTTATGAATATGAAATACTAGAACCTGATATGGTTAACTATGGTTCTTGTTTGTCTGTTCTCATTATCCAATACAGCAAACTTGTGGCCAAAACATCAATGTTTCCTGGATAGCATGATGCATGGCCTGTACATCTGTTTCCCATTTACTACATAGCATCCATATATTCATGTTATCACCTAGCAAGGAACTGTGAAATGCAATTACCAAGCCGTTCATAGAAATTTTAGGAGTGTCATGGAATGAAATTATTCATACATAATTTGATCTCTCTTCTCTCTCACCAGTGTCAGATCATGTAGAAACAAATATTATCATTTTTGGTGTACCACACTATATTTGTAGGAAAAGTAATGTAGCTCTTTTTTTCGAAAACACATATTGTGGAGAAGATGCACTTAGTACAGCATATTTTTTCATTGATAACTTTGCAGTTGGCATTCACATTTCTTGAATGTATAGTAATAAACATATTGAAGAGTTGCAGAAATGTCTTGTATCGTTCCTGAAGAATTTTAGTGAATCCTACTCAACTATCAGCAAGGTGATAACTTCATACATAATTAATATGACTAAGCTGTGGTTTAATAGTTTGCTAGATTAAGTTGTTAAAATAGTCTATCCATTCCTCAATTGTAATCACTTAAAAACACTTTAGCAGTGCTAGTACTTAGAATATAACAAACAAACAAACAAGTGTATGAAGGAGCTCAAAATTGTAATTTCAGTAGAATCTCATACTGAATCTGCTTCAGAGGTGACATATTCAAAGAACAACACCATTTATAATTTTAATGTAAAGAAAGGGTGATTTCTTAATTATGACATTTGCTTTCTAATGGAAGTATGGCTTTTAGAAGTGGACATATTCTTTTAATAGGATTTTTTACTTTTTATTTATAAAAATATTAGGACACTGAAACTGGAATGTAGAAACATGCACAAAGATATTTTTAGGATACTGGATTACATATAAATAGAATTTTAGATTGAAATATTTGGCAAAAATCCAAAATACATAAAATTTAGGATGGCGTATTCTTATGGTATACAGTATGGTGTAGGTAATTGTGGTTAAGTTGTTGGATGAATTAATACTGCTTTTTTATAATTATTTTAAAAAAATGTTGCTTTCACTTTTAGTGTGTAATACATACCTGAGCATATGCATATGACCTTAAAGGGGTGTTATTATCCCCTTTAGGAAATTGGGTACTTGAAGAAAATCCCGTCAACCAAAGAGACAGTGCCAATTGTGCCAAACCAAAAAAAAAAAAAAAAAAAAATTTACTAAATACAAGAAAAAAAAGTTCTGTTCCTATTATAACACATGTGTTAAAATAAAATTAACTCGTATGTAAAATAACATGTTTAACACGCATGTTAATATAACATTAACACATGTTAAAATAACATTAGCACATGTGTGTTACATTTTTTAATAACAAATATTTTTAATAAATGTCATTTATAAGGTGTTAATGCTTGTAATAAATTTCTTTTTCAGAGAATGGCACTAATTAGGAAAACTATGAAGAAATAATCACCGCTGTGCTTGTTACAAAATACTCCAAAATAATCGTCCTTTATTTTAAAAAAAGATTTACTGTATATACTTGTTTGCAAATAAAATGTATAGTTATTAAAATATAATTGTTTTTAATTTTTCTAGTAGAATGAAAATGTATGTTGCACTTCATTCCTTGATATAGACAGATGAATAATATTTTTTCAAGTATTTAATGGAGATATTTGGTTAGTGGAGTTATTCATAATTTTATGAAATTTTTTAAAAATTCATATTGAATGAGCTACCTAGTGAGCATGAAAATATTTTCCTCAATAGAGGAAAACCATTCAGTGAGCTTTCCTAAAGCAAGACTTGATCGTATATCCCATGTTTTATCAAAAGAAGATAGCAATATGGTGTTTGATGTACGTGAACAGGCATTTATTTTACACTTGAGAATGCATTTTGAGTGTGTAGTGACAATTTCGAGCAGAATTCTGGAAAGCAGCATCTGTTTTCAACAGCATCAGTAAATACAATTTTGAAATTGAGGTTATCAGCACACAGCTCTTTGGTTGGGACAAATGAACTTTTCTTTTGAGACTTTTTTTTTTTTTTTTTTTTTTTTTTTTTAAGGAAGCTGTTTTATGCTTCATAATCTGTTGGATTTTTGCTTTAGTATCATGTATGCTATGGCTTTGATTGCCTGTGCGAGTGTATTGGTCCATCGGTAGTAATCACAGGGTTCGTATAGTCCTTAAAAGTCCTTAATTTTTTCAAAAATGATTTTTGGTCCTTTAAGAGTCCTTAATTTTGGTCAAAATGAATAAATTGTCCTTAATTTTGCTCATTTGACATTTCTTATCATTTCTAATGATTGCCATTCTAAGTGTGAATTGCGATTTCTCATGAATATGGAATTAAAATTACACGGCTCTTAAACAATCTGTTGGCAGATTTGCATTGCAAACGATAAAAAACAGTTAGCTACCTTAGGACGAAAGTATTGGGTGTCTGATTGGCTATTTACCCAGTCTTTCGAAACAAGTGTTATCCATAAATTTAGGCAGATTGTGATGAAAGCGTGAAGCCAGAAGTTCTTTAAGAGGCGAAAGTGATGATGAAGGTGCTCGAGGTAAAAAAAAAAGGGGGGATTCTGAAAATATTTGCCAAAATTAGAACAATCCCAACCTGGAAGGCCACAACCCCTCTGACGCCAATAGGAACGAGATGCCTGGAAAGTGCATTTTCAATAAACTGTGACTTCCATCAAGCTGACTACAAAGACTGGATATTGATGGATGACAATCCTTATAAAGCTAAATGTGGTCTTTGTCTGAAACAAATTGAAATTTCTAGAATGGGAGAGTCAGCGCTGAAAATTCACATGAAAGCTAAGTTTCGTTTTATCATTTCAATTTGTTTTTACACGGTTTTGCTTACCTTAATTTCTGTGTTTGTTTGAATTAAGCCATAAATTAATTTTTGATCACTTTCTACGGAGTTTATTTTATTTATTTATTTATTTTTTGCACATATATGTATGGGATATTGGGATTATGAGTTTATTTCTGCAGAGGGTCTGTTATCGATTTCGCGGGAAATCTGTTGGCTCCATTTCGATTTTAGGTCGCCAAGGGCAAATTCGGTAACGCTAGCCAAAAAAAAGTGAAGTTCGGAAATACGTTTTGAAGCTTCAATAGACAATTAAGTATTTGGTTTAATCCTATGCGCAAGGTATCCGTTGCATAAGGGATTTGGCTACTTTTGGTGATTTTATGATGAGCATTAAACGGGACATATACGATGGGTAGTTAAACGGGTCATTTTGGTGTTGGTGATAATTTTCGAAATTGCGCCAAGGCTGCACCATACTAGAATTTTACCAAGTACCATTTTTATAGATCAACCGAATACTGCTTTCAGAAGAATGTTATTGAATTTTAATATCGCATCAGTTATCCAAATTAGTTGGTCGATATAAAATTTCATTGTGATAATGATTGAAATTATCTTTTGTTATTAAGCTAATTTCACCTATTTATAACTAGAAATTAAAATAAAAGGCTAAATCCTGAATAAAAAGTCAATGTTGAAATGATAAAGAAAAATATAAAAGAAACGGAAGATTAATAAATTAAAAGAAAATGACCAATAAGCGGAATGGTTGCTACACGGACAAAACGTGTTCATGGTATTGCCAATATCGCATTCTTATGGCAATTTTAGCGATGTAACGAAATCTCTGCAGGAATGCCTGCCTAGAATATTTCGCGATGTCGCAATTTTTTATCGACATAGTACATTTTTTAAATGTTAAAATATAATGTGTAAGAAAAATTCATACATTTTTGTTTAACAATAAAACCAAGATTATTGCAGAATTTTTATCTTTGCTCCATCATCTGATAGATAAAGAAATAATGTTTTAATTAAAATTTTCTGCTGTGAAGTTCTGCTTTTACCGATGGTTGCAAAATGTCCCAGCAGTTGAAAGAGCCATTGAAATATGGGATGACTTGCTACTATTACATTGAAAAAGTAAATGAAATGGGGCAGTTTAAAAAAAATTCATTGAAATCCGTTCTCAAATATTTTGGAGGCAGAGCTAAGGCTAAAACACTTCTTATAAAATTAAATTTTTTTCTCTCTCTGTATCGAAAATATTTTATTGCCTTTCCTTGAATATTATCAAAGCGATAAACCACTTATTCCCTTTTTTGCTGAAGATATCTTAAAAACTTGTAAGTGATTGCTTTTAGCACTTTAAAATTTTGAAACTAGAATATTCAAAAATAACTAAAGCAGAAAATCTTAATAAATTTAATTTAATGATCCAAATTGTTATAATGATAAAAGTAAAGTTTATTTGAGCAGTTAATGAATGTAAAATGCCGCAAGAAGGACATTTCACAAGCTGCAAGTTTTGCATTGAAACAAGGTCAACAATGTGTCTTAACAATGGTACAACACTTAATGGCTAAATGTCCAATAAATTACTCTCTTATTCGAAATGTATCTTGTATAAACCCACAGTTGATGGCTAATAGTCCAGAAAAAGCCCAGAACAAAATGAAAATAGTTCTAACGGTGTTAATGCGGAATAAACGTGTTTTACAAGATAATTGTGATGAAATTCTGCTGCAGTTTGGAGAGATTCAAGACAAAGTAGTTAAGACAAATTTACATGAATTTTCTACTTTTGATCCTCAAAATCTATCTCTTGACACATTTCTCACTTCTTATTTTCATGATTTTCACTATTCTAAAGTATGGAAAATAGTGAAAATTATTCTTATCTTGTCACATGGACAGGCCTCTGTGGAAAGGGGCTTCTCTGTAAATAAAGCAATTGAAATGGAAAATTTTAAGTGACTCATCACACATTTCTCAATGCACGGTATTTGATTACATAAAATTTTCTGGACGTATTCTTAATATCGAAATTAATAAAGAAATGAGATCAGCAGCAGCTTCGATAGATGCTTTTAGCAGATGAAGCCGAGACCAGCAGGAATATTGATTTGTTTATCAAAGCAAATGAACTTAGAAAACTAGTTAAAGAAAAGGAAATAGACATAAATAAATTAGATGTTAAAATATCTAAAAAAATTTCAGATTTTAAAAAAGTATAAATGTTTTGTATCTTTTATTGTATAGTTTATTATTTTAGTATCTTCCAAAAAACCAAAGAAATAAATTGTATGTTTACAAATCTGTTATTTTAATCTGCAAAATATTCTTACATTGCAATTGTAATAGTAGTTGTGTTTAAATAAATATCAAATAAGTTAAATAATAATCATGTAAATCTCTAAAATATCTGTGGCTGTTATTAGTGTAAAATACACTTATACATGTTTTTTAATTTAATGTTATCTACTTCATAACTTGTAGGGAGTTAGTTTAATTTTTAAAATTGTTTTATGTTAAAGTATTAAATTGAATTTAATAATAGTGCATAATACACACTTCTGTTAGTTTCATAAATGGATAACTGCTTTATTCTATTCCCCTTTTTTTTTTTTTTTTTTTTTTTTTTTTGTTTGTTTGCTGATAGGTCCTTAATTTTTTCTTTGATGGTCCTTAAAAGTCCTTAATTTTCATGTAAGGAAATGTGTACGAACCCTTTAATCATTATGTTAGTATGCTGAAAAACATGTCAACACTATACTAGCATGTCAGCAAATCTGGGATAAAACATAATATATAAATGGCTGCAATATCAGGAGACCTCAATGTGCATAGTGTGAGTAAAATTTGTAAGAGAAAAATTCTTAGATTACTTTATTACAGTATATTAAATTTTGATATTGCTTCCACAATTTATCTGTTATGAATTTTTTAAATGTTTCATAGAATTATGAGTAACTCTTTATAAATTTGTTTTATAGATAAGCTTTAAATGTAAACTCTTCCGATTTCCGACCATACTCCCACCAACCAGATTTAAAACATATTTCGCTTGACTTTCTCTTAGTCTTAAAATTTCTCATGATTTTTGTTTAGCTTTCAGATTCAAATAAAGTATTAAGCTAATACTTTATTTGAATCTGAAAGTGCTTGGTTTTCCTCTAGATTATACATTAAAAAAAAGTTTTTCATCAATGAGATATCATGGCATGTGTTCAAAAGCATTGCGTTCCAGTTCGCCATTGAGCATCAAATGCCCCAGGGGGTCATCTGGCCAATGAGCCATTAGCCAATTAGCCAATGAGCGCAAAGTAAGATCGAGGTTATTTCACCTCGATCAATCTCCGCCGCTGAGCCCTGTGTTTCCTGTGCTTGGCAAGAAAAATTTTAAGAAATTGCAATCTTTTGTCTTGGTTATGTCTGCAAAAAAGGTAAAATACTCATGTGCTTTTCAAAAGTCATGCACAGATGGCTTTCCTTTTATTATTTCATCAAGGAAATGTAATACATTTGTGATATGTACTGTTCATCATTGTGATTTTTCAATTTTGCATAATTTTTTTTTAAACATGTGCATACACAAAAACGCAAATGCAGCATGGGCTATATTGAAAAAAAAAGTAAATTTTTCTGTGGAAACAATTGACCAAAAAGTTAATGCAGAATGCTTGCTCTCTGCTTTTTTACTAGAGCACAATCTCCGCCTGAATGCGTTACATCATGCTGCAGC